TATTCGTAATATAAGATAAGAAAAAATTAGTAACATCTTTAAAATATATTACTAATATGTAATAATTTTCAAAATTAATAGAGAAAATTTATTATTTAAAGTATCTAGAAGTTATTTTTATAACATTATTAAAACCATCTTAATTGTATGTATTATAATTATTTAAAAAATAAAAATAATTTTTTAACATATACGTAATATTTATTTAATACAAAAAATACTATAACTAAGAATACAATTAATTACTTGCATTTTAAAGATTAACATTTTAATTTTTGTTATACTTTTCAATATTAAAATTTATGTTTTATAAGTCGCAAAATGTTTTATTTTTTAGTTATTACGCTTAATCATCAACATCACAAAAGTATTTGTCTATAGCTGATAGTAAAAACGTAGTTAATTTGCATAACATTAGAGATAAAAATAAAAAAAAAATAATATTGAACTTTCATCATTGACTAACAATATAATATATAATATATATACACTTTATATATATACGTTTTTATAAATAAGCAGTGCTTAATCACTTTTGAATGAACTTCAAACCAAACGCTTTAGTATAATCGATTTAGTGAAATATAAAAAAAGTTTAAAATAAAATTAATGTATTTATATTAAAAAATCTATTAAAATAAAAAAATCTAATGTGTTGAAAAAATTACAATATTAATAATATACTTATCACAAGCAATATGAATTATAAAAAAATCTACATCTGTTTAAAATTTTGCCATTATTTGTAAGACATTCATACTCTAATCTCCGTAATATGCCATATCTATTACTTGAAGGTAACGCTCAACAATTCTTGACCTAGCAACATTATAGTACTAATGGTAAGATCTTCAGGACTACTAAATGGCGAATTAACAAGCATTACACACAAAGTATAAAAAGGTGCATAAAGACTCTATTCCTTATAATATTTATAATATGTCCATTAATTATTTTCATTAATAATGTTATTTTTTATCTTATATTATTATTGTACTGTATTCATAGATTTAGTGACATTTATAATTATATCATTATTGTAAGAAATAATATAATTGAAGAATTTTCATGTCTTAAACGAATTGAATCAATAAATTTATAATCAAATATAAACAGCTTTACAAATAGTGAGGGTAGTAAAAACATCGATGAAATTCTAATTTATATTTCTGAAAAAAAATTCGAATCATTGCTGGGATATACATGTAACAAAATATCAAAGAGATGAAATTATAAAAAAGATATACGACTCTTGAAAGAGTCTTAGCAAATGCTTTCAGAGATATTTCAAGGTTAATCGACAGCTTAAATTTTAAGTCGAAATTGTAAATATTAAAATTTCTGTTTAACTTAATTTTATTTGAATATGAATCTTCAATGAAAAATAAAATACTAATAAATTAAAATATATCTGCAGATAAGAAATAATTTATATTGTAATTGAAAATTTAGTTTAGAAGTAGTGTTTATATAATTTTTGTATGATTTTATGCATGTAGATTAGTCATCAATAATATCTTACTTAATCAAATTTAAAACAATACACATCTAACTTGCCAAACAAGATTACTTAATAAAATTTGGATATTTCTTTAATTCTTTATTAAAATCATAAATTTAAAATGAAATAAAGGCTCTTAAATTCTGAAAGAACTGATTTTTTTTTTTTTTTTTTTTTTTTTTTTTTTTTTTTAACAATAGATAATTAATATAACAATAGATCAAAAGCTTAATTTTAAATATTCTATACTTGTTACTTATAGCTCATTTTAAATACATTTTATGAACAACAATGTTTTTATATTTACATATGAATATGAACAGTATTACAGGAAAAATGAACATATTGATTTTTAAATTATTATTAAAATATTGTTATAAAAATATTATATATAAATTATTTTTAATCTATATCTGTCATATTTTTGAACTACATGTATATAATAAGTATAAAAAAGTATTGATAGAATAGTATAACTTTTAAGATAATAGCAATAATATTTTTCAATTATAAAGAAAAATATAAAATATATACAGTTACTTTGTGATGAAGTTAAGATCTATGATTTTATTTTAAATTGTGTCTTTATTGAAAATAACTACAGACAATTAAGCTTTTCTTTATACATTAATTATTATATTTAAATTCATAGAATTTCAATTTTTGTTTTTTTTCCGCAATATGAAATTTACATAAAGTTTGCATTCGATATAGAGTAATTTTGTATAGATGCTAATAAAATTAATTGCTTTAAAAAGTTAATTTTTCATTATTACGGCAATTATTGAGATATTTTGATTTTCTTAAATAGTTTTATTATTGATATTTGTATTTTTCAAACATTATTAATCATTTTTATTGTTAGTCGTATCATTTTTAATTAAAAGATAAGTTGTACTTATAATATTTAAAAAGGTTATATAAAAACAAATAATATAAAAATTGTTTTATCACCCCTACCTTAATTATCTTCGGTGCTAATTTACACAAAGAAAAAATATTAAATTCACTTGAAATTATAGAGTTCATTATCTTCAATCTGATAATAAAATTGAGTTATGTACTGTATATTAATAGATATATTATATGGATATTATCTACATGCATTCTTTACAATTTTACCAAATTTTAATTTTAATTTTATTTTATAAAAGTAATTTACGTTTTAAGTTATAATAATAAAGATTTACTCGATTAATTTGATTCGGTATATTAATTTTATTTCAATGGACAATTACAATTCAAATTTATTAAATTTGAGAGAAATATTATTTTTATCAAATTTCCTAATTATGTAATACCAAAATTTTAAATTTTAAATTTTAATTTGTAAAAAGTAAGAATGTAATGCAATAAATCATGATTCATTGGTATTGCAGTCATATTCTTGCAGCATCATAAAATTGGTTATATTATTATAGAGCATCGATATCTCCTAATCTAAATATTAAAAATTCATAACGTGTGTAACAAAACTGTTATAAAAAAATAAGCTTATTTTAGAATATGAAACGTGTTTGAGTAATAGTTTTTCTCTTATCAATTTAAAACTACAAATAAATATTTCTTCTAATATGAATTATATCTTTACATTTAACCAATTATTGTTCTGAAGAAGCGTAAGTTTCTAACAACTATAAATAATTGTAAACCGCATTTTCATAAAAAATATCTTGGATAAAAACAATAAATGATATTTATTACTTGATTAAAATCACACGCCCGAAACCTGTTGCGCATAAAAATATTTACAACGCGATCTATTTTGTTCTTAGTTCTTGATTAAAATGAATTAAAAGCTCTCTGCTTTCTACAGATGCAATTTAAAGATTTTTTATAGCAATCTGTTAATTATTCCAAATGAAAATTTATAAATCGTTTCGATGAACTGACATCTGAAATTTTGATTTTTGATCTTTATAAATAATGAATAATTTATATTATTATTATAATGAATAAATAATTTATAAATTATAATAATGAATTAAACATTCGGTTACACAAATAATCGATACGGTACTTACCAAAAAAACTACCTTTCCGAATTTTTTCCTCCTTAGATTCAATACCAGCATGCAAAAAGTATGAGCGGTTGATTCAAAATCAGTCGTGCACTTGTGACGTTGGTCGCCCGTAAACTAATAAAAGTTGTGCACCTGTCCACTCGAGCTACCGATTAGAGAAAAGCGCGCCCACCCCCTCCTTCTGCACCTTCATCGCCACCTCCTCCTCTTCTAACCACGCGTAGCGCTCAACGTAACAACTTTGCCAAAGGTTTCCTTCGTCGGACATTACCTGCTCTACAGTCACGACCAAGCAAGTTCTTCTATTAAACTATCTATTTCCTGCTTAGTTTTCTTTTATGAAATATGAATTTCTCTTGACTGCGAGCTTTTAAGCGATTGAATTTGAAGCTTAATTTAATTATACATTTCGTGCATTTCCAATTTCATAATAATTGTAAGATATTGGCATTCAATCGAAATTTTTTTATTTAACTATAAAAATTAATCACCTTGCTCTAAAAGGTTTTCAAATGCGATTTATTACTTCAATAATACTTCTGTTTTTCATAAATGATATTAATTTTATAATAACACTTATTGTAATTATACATGTGATATACATACATACAATATATTATAATCAATTATACATACAAAAGTTCTAATAGAAAATCTTGAATGAATTTGCAAAAATAACGTTTTTCAATTTCTATGACAAACAATTTTAAAAAATTTAAAAAATGTTCAAAACATCAACAAGACGTTTTTGTTAACAGTTTTTACATGCTTTAATATAAACAAAACATTTTTAATTATTTTTCTGTATTATTATAAGATTGCACTTCTTTTTATTGTATAAATTATAAAATAAAAAATTTCATAATACAGTTAAATAAATTATTTAAAATATCATAGGTTGATAATGCAAATAGAAAATTTATTTGGAATAATAAAATTTATAAGCAGTGCTAAATTTAACATAGTGACATTTTGTTGGTTTGTAATTTGTTAAAAAAAAGTTTATTTATTTTTTTATGATGCAAATTAAAAAATTCATCATTACAATGTATATTTTTTAAACGCTACAAATAATTTAAAATTTTTAATAACTTTTTCCTTCTAGATTAATTTCATAATGTTTGCGACATATTAAAAAAATTATATAAGCTATAAATGTTAACAGTATTTATAAGAAATGACAATTTATGTAACATTCTATTATACATTAATACCAAATTTTTATTTGTTATATACTTGTTTTTAAATCTTTTTAAAAATATAAAAATCTTTTTAATTAGTAATGATAACATTTTTCCCTTATTATGTATTCATTATAATATAATAACTATTATAATGCTTTTAACTAAAAATCGTGAATATTTTATACATACAATTACTGAGAGATCTGGATTGTTCATACTATTACATAATCTGATTTCGTTGAATTACTACTTCACAAAACGAAATATAGCAAAGAAATTTTAAATTAAGGTGACTACAGTAGCTATAAAGGATTTTTACTATTATTTATGGATTTAAACATAATTTCTGGGTTTGTCGCACATCCAGGACAGGTGTGTAAAGATTCATGAATAAAAATTTCACAATCCATACAAAATATTTGCTTACATTTTTCACAAACATATATCTGCAATACGTATATGTATTTGTAAATTATAACTATATTTGAAAAACTAAATTTTTTTAAAATCTTTAAAAAAATTTACCTTTCTGTCTGTTTCAACAAAAAATTTTTGACAAGCATAACAACTTGATGGAACTCCTTCATATTGTTCCTCTTTAAAATGTTTGATAGGAAATAAATAATGATACGATCGAGCTAAGTGCGGAGCTGATACAAGCGTAAGTCCACAAGCTCTGCATTCTACTGGTAATTCACAATGCTTACTAAGGCATTGAGGGCATAAATAACCTGGATTGGTAAACCTTGAATTTTCTTCTAATTTATCTGCATGACTATTAACAGTAAATTTTAAATAAACTAATAATTCGTTATATGAATTTAATTAATTGAAAATAATAAATTTATGTCAATGGAAAATTAATTAAATTAGAGTGAAGAACTTACCACATGCACACAGCAACGGATAATTCTGTTGTAGAAGCATGTAAAGCATGATGGGGAAACCCCATTTTGACTAGAGCTGCATCTAATCGTGTTGCAGCAGGTGGAGGATCAACGTGTGCTGTTAATTTCTCTTTGAAATGCTTATCATCTAATACCACTCCATGATCACCACCAGTATTAAGAGCCATTACTTTACAAATATTTAACTCTGCAGCTAAACCAATGACACTACATCTAACTCCTTCAGTTTTTAAAGTCTCAAAACGTTTTAAAAAAGTTAATGTTCATCTATTTATTTAAATATATGTTTTTTATATAAATTTCATAAAAAGAGCAAAAACCTGTATTGTTTCTCCAATGTCTCCAGGGTCACAAGTAGTTAAAGAACCCATTATTAATAAAATTTCTTTACTTGAATGCGATGGTAACATTTTTAATGTTTTTAACGCAATATCTAATGAGTTTTGCAACGATGGTTCACCAGTAAAAGATGTTTGTTGTAAATTTCTTAAATCCTAAAATGCATTATGTTATTACATTCACATTTACATTAAATGACTATTTATAAAAAAAAAAAAAAAAAAAATGAAATAAATGTAACATAAAAACTGTACACTTTACTTTAAGTGGCTTTTTAGAATTGCCAGTGAGATCTGTGATTTTTTCAGCTCTTTTGTTCCTTGTTATAATAATACCTAATTGACTAATTGGATTTTGGTAAAAGAATTCATCTATAAAATCTTCTAAAAGCTGAAATTATATTATAAAAACTTATAAAATTAATAGATATAATTATATGTGATTATTAATATTGTTAATTTTATTATTATTATTATTATTATTATTATTATTATTATTATTATTATTATTATTATGATTGCTATGTTAATTCATATAATTTCATTACTAATTATATACTTTTAGAGCACACAAAAAACGAGTGGGTTTTAAATCTTGATTTGTCATAGATTCAGAACAATCAAGAATAACATATAAATGTCTCATCATTCCTAAACGTGAACCTTCTTTTCTCTCTAGTTGACGTTTCCTTTTTGCTTTATGTATGATGTCTGCAACAGAGATTTCTAACATTCCATGGTCATCCTCTTTGATTGCTTCCCTAAAGACAACAAAAGTTAATGAAATATAAATAAAATAATATAAAAATTACATTTTAAATATATTTTAAGTATAAATTGAATTATTTGTTAAATCTTACCATGTTTTTTCATAACCTGTTTCCCACCGATACTCCTTATCTTCTTCATCCTCTGCCATTATTGGCTACATAAAAATATTAAAACAAATAAATTATTATTGTTTAAATAATTAATATAAATTATTATTATATATTAAGATTCATCATGTATAGACTTAATTAACTGAGATTTTAAACATTAAATTGCAAATATTTATAAATTGACTATAGGAATTTGAAATTAAATTATAATTATAAATAATTTGTTATAAGGGACAAATTGAATAAAAATATTTACAATACAGTTATTTATTAATGTATAAATTATTTATGAAAAAACGTGTAAATTTTTTAAATAATCCAAGATAAAGCGCAATTTTGTGTTTCAACAATAAAGATATATTATCTTATAATAATATATTTTAAAAAATTTGTAAATATATATAATATTTTAATCTTTTAATATTGACAATAAATATAAGGTATACTGTAAAAAATGTAATAAAATAAAAAAATTATCAATTACTTATTGTAAAAATTGGTCGATAAAGTTTAGGTTGTTTTCTTTCAAATAGATATGTTGTAATGAATGGAAGTACTATGACAATAAACCAAGTCAACCACCTATTACAAAATATAAATGTTTTCAACAATATTTGAATAATCTCGGGAATTAAAATACCGAAGTGAACAAAAAATAGTTATCAGCATAACTTATAATCCTTATAGTTAGCTAATGCCTCATCGTAGCTGTATACTAATTAATTATTGATGTGACAAGTAATTTACCATACTGTAATATACCTACACAGTTAAAAGTAGGATACAATGATATACATAAATTCAAATTTCAAAATAATGATAATACAGTGACAAGATAATATTGAATAGAAACCTTTATCGATCGAAAACTGTTTCAATAATTAGATATTTTATATATTTACTAAAATATTTGTCGATATTGTACAGTAATAATTCATGTCCGTAGAGACAATTTTCAGGTGTCAATGAATTGCTGGGACTAAAATATCCGTAATGAGAGGATTAAGGCTAATGTCTAAGGCAATTAATCGATCTTTTTAGCTGTTCCGTGTAATTTCATTTTATCACTCAATCTGACGCTGATGGTTAAGTATAGCAATTGCACATTCAATTTTTGCACTTCATTACTTTTATCCTTTTTTACAGTAGATGCGACATTATAAAATGTCGACAAAAAAATAATATACCTTTCAAAATCTTTAAATCATGGCAAATATTTATGCATTAGTGCATTACATAAATTTGTTTTACGTTTAAACATCCAATATAATATATAATATAAATTATCGAAATAATACTTTTATCCGGATCTCTACATAAGATAAAATTCATTATTTACTGAGCACTCAATTCAGCCTAATACAATCTATCTTACGAATCTATCAAGTTTAGAAAGAATAATTCATATTTAAAGATAAAAATGTGTTACGTGCTCAATGTAATGCTACTTCTAAGAAGGCATTTTTCACGATAAATTTAAATAAAATCTAACAAAAAAAAAAAAAAATGATTTACAATCTAAATGTATAAATAAGATTGAATTTGCTATTCTTGTTCATACTAGCTGAACGCAATAGTATAAAATGTCATAAATATACAACATCCATAAAACGAATATCGTACTTCGCCAATAAATAAAATAACCGTCTGTATTTATATTGTCTACTATGGATCATAAGTAGATTGAACAAATGTTTGAGAAACATCGTTATAAATAACTTCCAGTTCTTCGAGAAGTTTTTTATTTTTTCAAATTCTGAAAGTTTTGTATAAGTTTATTAGTAAAGCTCAAAATTTGAAAAAAATCAATATAATTCAAACGGCTTTAAAATTCAAATAATTTAAGAACAAGCATTAAATTTTATATTCACTGCCGGTATTCTTAAAATAATTTATACATACAATAATTTTTAAAAACATTTGATTATGTCTTTATAAAAGTATCTCTTTTATCCTGTTAAATTTTTATGTTATTAATTTAATAGAAATAAATAAAATTAAGATAAGACCTTACATTTCATTGATATAATAAATCTTAATTTTCGCTTTAAATACACGAGAAATATTTTATTTAGATTTTATAAAATAAAATTAGATATTATAAAATAAAAATTAATTTAGAAAACATTATATATATATATATATATATATATATATATATATTCAACTATCGATCACCTGAATAAGATTAACGTTATTTTAATAAATAATTTAAGCCCTAATAGGCTTTAATAAATAAGAAAATTATTTATAAATGTGCATACATGAGTCATACTAAAATTCCGATTAATTGAAAATAAAATTATTTTAATTGATAACTAATTCTTAACAAATAAATAGAAAGTAGTAAAAATTTGTATTAATAATTATAGAATCTTTGTTAAATATAGTATCTGAGTTTTATGTCGTTAATTTGTTGAAAAAATATATATATATATATATATATTACAATCGTTCTGCTATTATAACAGTATATGATAAAAATACACTGTTCAAGTTAGAAAATTTCAAATAGTTGAGCTTTGGAATTGTAATATTTTATGTACAAGTTTGACAAAAAAAACTTTTACATTGACAAATAAATGTCCATTCGAGCGTTCCCGTGAAAACGTTGACTCAGCATTTATAAATTGATGCGCAGCACACGCACTTACAGGTAAATGCATATCCGAGTATAAAATGAACATTTAATTTTCTAAAAATAATATTTTCTGAGATCAGTATTAAAATTATTTAATATATAGTAAACTTAAAAAAAAGTTCTAAAAGTATGTATCCCAATAAAAATTTAATTTTATTAAATAAATATATACATGCATATGTTTATATTTTCAATGACTATAAATTTTTAATTTATAAAAGCATAAAATAAATTTATAGAAATGTTAGATAAAATTTCTATAAATTTTATATTTTTTACAATTCTATATTTTATTGATAATACTAACAATATTTATAATATACTACAATTTCTAGTTATATAATTAATGTTAATTACATGCATAACTATTAATATGCATATATTTGATACTTTCTTTACTTACCCTTTTTTTTATGAAATAAACTCATAAATTAATTGGCTTGATATAAGTATAAATGATTGAAAAACTTTATATCTATAAATTTTGAGACTAACTCTGTAATTTTTAATTTTTAATGAAAAATATTGTTTTTAACTTTTCTTTATCATGCCTAATATATGTGATTCTAAATTTTATCCTACAAAATTTTTTTTATTAAACTAATAAGTAAATAATATAGCCATATATACATATATATAATTTTAGATGGATACAATAGTACATAAACACCTTAATAAGGAAAGTGACTTAGTTTGGATTAACGGTTATAGGGTGTATTGTTCATCATAATTGCATTACAACATATAAATTAAAATTTAATGTAAAATAAAATAATTACATAATATTTAATGGTTAAAATTAAAAATAAAAATATGTTCCTTATATTTTTTTAATTGCTAATTTAAATCTTGTAAAAATTATAATCGATTATTAATTTTAATAATAAATAAACAATGAAACTCTTCGTAGAAGAAATTTATTTGAAATATTTATAATACACGAATTAAACATATACAATATTGATACAATCTTATCATTTTGCCCTGCTGCAAATTACTCTTATACTCTACTGAGCGCACTTAAATATTATACAATACATACAAATTTAACTTAAAATTATTTTTATTTCGATTTCTTAAACGCGCATAACAAATAATAATTCACTATTTTTATTTTATGTTCAGACACTGAGTAGTAATGGCAATAGAATTATAAATCTGAAACATCGATTATTAAATCCAATATTGGAGAATAGAATCGCTGCGCATATAAAATAAAACCTATAAATACTGTTTGGAGTGTGTACAATTTTTTGTTCTTTATAGACTTTAGTGCAACGTTTTGAAAAAAGGTATTTTAAAAATTTAAACCTCACCAATTACAGTAATCATGTAAAGAACATTTTGTATTCACTTTGTAAAGATTTACATTGAAAAAAAGGTATGCTTTAACTACTTATATACATCGAATGCAATACAACATTCGTTATATTTTACCCCTCTAAAAAGCCTATCCATATGGTTTTCACATAATTTATAAATTCATTCTCAATTTGCTTATGATATTTTATAAGTACAAAATCGAGTGAATATGTACAATATTAGCTATTTAATGTTGTGACAATGTAATCGTCTCTAACTATTGTTATTGACTGAATTATTTGTTTTTAATATTATTACACTTTCAATCCAAATATAAGCAACACATGTCTATAAAATTCTTTAAATGTGCTAAATAATAGCAAAAAGAAATTAAATTTGAAAAATTATTAGAAAGCTAAAAAATAAAATATACTTGGGAGAAATCAAATTTGAGAAAATCCAAAAATACTGTCGTAGTTTTCCATTACTATTGACAGAAAATTGAATTATCAGTCTCATTTACTCCATTATCTCATAAAAATTGTAAGATAATGATTATCTAAATATCAACTACACCATATGTTCTGCAAGGAACAGATCTAAAAAATCAGTTTTTTTAATAGCATGTCTACCGATAATGAAAGTTCAAATAATTGCCGATTTATTTATGCATTTTTTCCTGATGCTTTAATTACAAATTTTTAAAAAATTATTACAACTTTATCGACAAGAACACCTTTTATTAAACTATAATTATCACCTTTAATATCAATTATGAATATAATTAAATATTGCGAAATATCTATTTGTATTACTTTTCTGATATTAAATGCTAAATTCAGATCGTATATTTGTTATCAGAAAATATGAAAATCAAAATCAGCATGAAAATTAAGTAATGAACAGACATTTGAATATACAAACACGAAGAATGCAGTTTTAAAATCTGACGTATCCACGTACTTTACATAAGGTCATAAGGTCATAAGGGCTGAGAATATCTAGAAGCAAATATGGAATGTTCAATTTTTAATTTACAATGCAAATCTTTGCAACGGAAGTATCGTCGTACAATTGTCGTTTAAAATGAAGCACGATCGCTATTATACTCTACACCTTAAATCAGTTACGTAAAAAATCATTTATTTAGGTTGTGAATCGGTGGAAGTTTGCTGTTGCTGTTGTTGTTGCTGCTGTTGCTGTTGTTGCTGCGACACTTGCTGTTGGACGTGCGCTTGATGAGATATTGTTTGAAGCCTAACTTGGCTTGGGCCTGGACTGGCTCTGGCTGTAGTGACAATCGGTTTTCCCTGACCGGGCGTCGCTTGGCGAAGTTGAGCGGTGCTAGCCGCCACAACTTGAATCGTTTGCTTCAAAGCACTGGAGGACACTGGAATCACGCGTGTTTGAAGGGGTGATTTGGCCAGCACAACTTGGCTTGGTTGAGCAGCTGCTTGTCCAGCAGAAACCTGTAAAATAAACAAATTTTTCAAGCTCCTTACTTTTTTGTTTATGTTTTTATACAAACACTCAAATTACATCCTTTTGATAAGATAGATTTTTCATCTAATATGCTTAAAATGCTACTACGCTATATGTTTAAAAACAAGGGGAAAGATTGAATATACAATAATAGTAAAATTTAAAAACGAATCATTCAAAATGGTTGTTGAAATTGGTAGTAAATAGTGTACAAGAGATAAACAAATAAACATATTTAAGTAGAAATATTGCTTTATTGTGAAATTATTGAAATTTTGATTATTTTAATATATATATAATATATATATATAATATATATTTAATATAAAATTTTCAATCTAGTAACCTACAAATGGAAGCTGAAATGAATAATGTTGAACATTTATGATTCACTTGTGCATAACAATATATATCCATTTAATATATTGAATTACTCACACTACTCGTGCTTTAAATCTTTAAAATTAATATCTTTTTATGGCATAAGCATTAGCAAAATAATCATATTAATTCATAAAATTTGGTTGTGTTGCTGTTGGGCGTGTGTGTGTGTGTGTAAGTAAGTAAGTAAATGAACTTACATGAGTAAACTGCTGCATGGTACTACCAGGTTGCACTTGCTTCATAACCTGCTGTAATTGTTGAACAGTCATTGTACCCTGAAGACCACCCTTCTGTTGCACAATTAGTTGAGTTTGTACACCACCCTTTCCGGCAACTTGTGCCAACTGAGTCACTTTTTGACCGGGTAATTTGCGCTGTGCAAGTATCTGGGGATGTAGGGCCAGGTGTCTAATTTGCTGAGGTGTAGCGGTCCTGACCCCAGTAACAGTACCAGCAGTCTTGACAAGTGTTGCGACTGGTGCGGCTGCCCCTGAGGTACTCGCTTGCTGCACCTGTAAACCCGCTTGTGAATAAACTTGATTTGCAGCGAGTCCAGCTTGAGCTGGTACTTGCACTTGCGTCACCGTCTTGCCCTGCTGCTGTTGACGTTTAAGCAATGCAGCCATATCCGACTCGGAAACCTATCAAATAATCATTAAAAAGAGAAAAAAAATAAGTTAGATTAATTAATTTAAATAAGCACCACAGTGCCACTTAATATTAATGAAAAAATAAATTAAAAGGTTGAGATTCAATGACACACCTGTCGAGTGGTGAGATGCTGTTTTGCCGTAGCCACTTGTTGCTGCGCGAGAGTTGTACCGGCAGGCCCCGCTTGTTTCATAAGAGTAGCACTGCGTTGCTGGGCAGCAGTTGTCGACACTGCTACCGACATTTTCTGACCACTAGCCGCCTGTGCCTGCAACACTTTCAGCTGCTGTTGCTGCTGCTGTTGTTGCTGTTGACGCAAGAGCTGCTGTTGCTTGACATACTGAATTTGAGCTGGTGTGAGGTTTTTACTGTTGGCTGTGGCGAGAGTATAGCCGACAATGTTCTTCTGGGCAATGATAGCAGGATTCTGAGTTGTAGTGACAAGGCTTCCACTAGTAAGGCGCTGACCGGTATGTAAATTGGCGACGATAGTGGGACTCGGACGCACGTCTTGCATACCGACGGCACTACTCACGCGTGTCTTTACATTCGTACTCGCTATATTGGACGAACTCACTGCCGCCACGTTCGAAGCCTTTATTGATGTTACGCCTCCCGTTGCAGTTGCCACAGTTGTTACCACTTGACTCAATTGGTGAATTTGGGCATTCGTAGTAACATTTTGTTGAACCTGTTGAGCGAGAATCTGCTGTTGTTGCTGTTGCTGTTGTTGCTGCTGCTGCTGAATAAGTCGTGCCGCTGCTTGTTGTTGCTGTTCCGCCGTCATTACCTAAAGTTTAGTTAGAGTACATTTTCGCATTATCTACCTTTTTGAATGTTCAAATATTCAATTGAAGTGAAATAATGTTTCCCTATATATTACTTTTTTTTTAATTTAAAAATATATAATACTAGAATTCAATTAATAAATAAAAATTTTTTAATAATTTCGTAATGAACATTTATCGAACTTATTATTAACATCTAATAAATAAATTTACTTTCTGCTGTATATGTAATTGCTATCATCTAACAATATAAGCTCATGATTAAAATAAAGCAGTCAAAAATTACAAATCTGTTTAAAATTTGCAAGTCCTTTTTCTTTTTGATAATTTAAAGAATGTTTTCAAATGCTTAACGGTCTAAAAGGGTAAACAATCTTGAAAAATTTAAGTACAAATACAAAAATAGTTTTTTCACCGTACCGAGGTGCTAACGGCATTTTTTAATTTTTCTTTCGCCAATCTTTCTGCTCGGCGTGTGGCCACATCTATAGGAGCTAACGGACTATCATACTGAATACCACAATCAGCTAAAACTGCCGCATGTTTTGGATTTTTCATCATCGGATTAACTAATAATGCCTTCACCGTTGGAGCGCGCTTATTTGATACTGATTTTATTGTATCAAAGCGTTGACAACACGTTGTCGTAAATGAATGATTCTTATCTTGATTATACAATTGTGACGTTCTCATTGGTCGATTTGTCTTATTCTGTTGCTAACAGTAAATGTCAAAAAATTATTAATGAAATATTTGTACACATCACAAATATTATTGTTTCGTAAGAAATAGGTTTCCTTTACCTCTGACACTTGGGAAATTTTATATACTCCTTTCTGTTTTTTTTGTTTTTTTGGTGTTGTATCGTACAGAAGCTTGCCTTCCTCTCTTGGTACAATTATGGCTTCGTATCTACTTCTACATTGTTTGGGTGACCTGTAAATCCTTGAGATATTGTTAACAATATCTGCTACCAAATCCCAGTTGGGCGTATGGCCCGGCGAAATAATCATTAAATTCAAATGTAGGCCTTGATAAATTTGTATGGCCTGAAGAAGAGCCCAGTCCTCATGAATCATCCATTCCAGTGCTGGCTCTTGCTCTGTAGCTGACTTTATCATGGCAGAAGGCTTTACCCCTGTCATTGTTATAGGTGGCCTCATCATTCCGCGATATTTGTGCAGTTTTATGTCACGACGCATTTTAGTTAAAGCTGGCGATGGACGATCAAACAACGATCGAGGGGCATACACGGATTCTTCCTTATGTCTAACTTTTATGGGTCGACGACCTGTAAAAAAATAAATAAATCATTAAATATTTCTCACTTGCCCAGAAGTCAATTCTCAATTAAACAAATTATTTGTACAAAACACTATTTTTTCTATATTTTTTTAATACATCTGTTGATAAAATCATATAGTATTTTAATTTTTTTAATTCTTGATACAAAGAAATTACTAATGGGTACATTATCATTCAAACTTAAATTTTCATAAGCATTCAAATATAATAAAAACATTTTAGATTTTGACTTTTAATTTTGACTCGAATTAGCAGAATAAATAATAGAAAAGTTTTCTTTTTTGATTATTATCAAAGAATTCAGGATGAGCATTAATTAAATTATTGATTATCAATAAATTCGCCTTAAAATTTTTTATTTAAATTGATTATTATTGTATTGCAATCTTTTTAAGTGACACTATGATATATCCATTTGGATTACATTGACTTACCATCTCTGTCCGTAGATCCAGCATCAACGCGACTTCGTTTTTGCTCCTTTTTAACATAAATTGGCGGCAATTGCGCTTCTGACATTGGAGTACTATCATAGAGGAACCCCAAAGAATAATCGATGTATACATCATTATCCGACGTAGGAGGAGTTGGTGGGCACCACATCTAATTATAAAGAAACCGGCATATATATAATTTAAATAAAAACATTTTAATTTTGTTATATAATATAAAATTATAACATGAAATTTTTAAATATATAATAGTCTAAACAAAGCAAAATTATGCTTTCATATATAAAAAATTATTGAAATCTTGGAATGTACAGTTAAGCGTTATAGTATTATGTTATAAGCAATTCGTATCTGTATTTTTAAAAATTCGGTCGTCATTAAGCCACCTTACTTTTGCATGAGACTTAAGAAACATAAAGATATTAAGTAAATTTATATAAAACTACTTTTTACAAAAAAATTTCAAATACAATATGACTTAGTTGATGAATACTAACCGGCATCTGTTCCAAGGTATTTTCTGATAACCAAATCTGTAAGATGCAAGATACAAAAATGAGTTATAAATTCTTATACAATTTTTCTTATATTAATAAAACAATTATAGTTCACACATAATTTTTAATTTATAATAACCTATGTATTGAATAACTTACCAATAACTTCTTAAAATATTAAAGTTTAATTAAAATAATAAACTAATATTATAAAATCAAAAAATTGGAAATTACTGATATAATATATTATATTTTAACTGAAATTATGTAATTTTCTTAAATTTGTTTGCTACTTGTTAATTCAAAAATAAATGAAGTAAAATTTAATATATATTTTTTAACTTTTAATTTTTTATAAATTCTAATACCAAATGTCAAAATACTTTAAAAATATTTTATTGACTAAATAAATGTATAGAGAATTTAAAAAATGCTCTGAAAAGTTTCTTTCAATAAAACGAGATAATAATAAAAATTCAGTATTTTCCTGACATCACATGAAAATAATGATTTAATTTTTAAAAAACGTATGCAAATATTAATTTCAATTCATTTAGTATCGTATCTAATGTTATAAAATTAAAAAACAATGCCAGCAAATTAAGAAATCTAAATTATAACAAATTATTTAAATATAAAATAAATATTTAATTGACAATAACCCTTAAATTTTTTTTAAGAAAAATTTGAAAAATATTTTTGAATTAACGGATAGGAATATTAGGGAAATCGTCTCTAGTTCGTTCAAAGACTCATTCTATCCCTTTTTGTGAATTGTTAGATGTTAAGAAAAAAAAGAGAAATAATCCCCAAGAACGCTCATAATTGTGCCTGCTTATATCTTGGCTGTATCCAAGTTTGGAATGGCAAAGGCAGTGTTTTGGTGCCATTTTATTATAAAATGTTTTTCTTTTTCTGTTTTTTTTCTTTAAATGTCAATAAAAAAGTAATCCTTTGAAAAATTTATAGATAGATCAATTATCGTGCGGTTATGACAGCCTTGCCACACCAAACTGATAATGTATCATTAGAACGTGCAAGATGTCTCAAAATATAAACAAGCACACTGAGCAAATTTGACACCAAAACGGAACTGAACCTTTGATCGAACAGACTTGGAAACGTACCAAGAAATAAGATAACACGTTTTTTTGTTCATAGTAAGGAATATTTCATTTATTTCCTTTTCAAGGACTCATTCGATCATACAAAATACAGGCACGCAACTTAATACTTATATATAGTCGCTCTCATTTTTCATTAATTACAATAGCACGCATCCCCATATTTGAAAGGATGATTTTACGAGTTCGAAAAAAAATGAAAAAAAAAAAAAAAAAAAAAAAAAATTACGATATATAAAAATAGATAGATTGCTATTTGTTTGTAATTTTTAGTCGTAACCGTCAAAAATGATGGTAATGGAAAAACTCTTTTTGCATAAATGTATTGAATCTGGATTGGATGGTGTATTTGTGTACGTTTGTATGCGTATATGAAAGAATAACAATGTTTCGTATGAGCATCGCGTATGCAGTCATTGTTTAGTTTAACTTCTGAGATATTGCTATGTGAATCCCATATCTTCGAATGTCACCTACATCAGTATTTATAACTATTTGTATACTGCGTGCGACGTATAACTTAAGCGTCATACATGTTTCTCCTCGTTCCATTTTCTTATTTCTATTTAATTCCATAACTAATTTAATACAGTCATGAGTCTGGTTATGGATTTCATTTATCACGAAATATAAATTATAAAATAACTTAATGACCTACATTCATTTACAGAAGCATGTAGACGAGAAACTGTGCGTAAGAAAAAAATGAAAAAAATCCACAGTAATTCTCTTCAATTTGCTCGCTTGCTCGCACGAACGGAATTACTTCAATCTTAAAATTTAATTCATATGTATTTATTTATTTCATTATGTACATTCAGAATACTCAATCTCCCTCCCTTAAATTTTAATTTTCAAAATAAAACAGGAGAACGCATTTCTCCCATTTTTTTACTATTCTCTTTTTAAATTTTCAATAGCGCTTACACGATTGACATTCGATCGCAGAATTCATTATAAACTTGTATACGATGGGACTGTTTTATTTTACTGTTTTTGTATAATACACAATATATAATATATCGTTCTCGTCAACGACGCAAAATTGAAAGATCGAGAGGGAGAAAGAGAGAAAGAAAAGCTCGTAAACGCTGAGCTTATCTCTCTTTCTAATTTTGCACAACGATTCAGTCATTCTCGCCTCAGGATACAGGATTTTTATTCATTTTGTCGGGTGGACCGCTTATGGTTGAAGTAGGGGGTGGATTACATCGATTCAGTTTCTTCATTGGTATTTTATCGTCCTCGTCGTCCTCAATTTCAATCGTCTGTATTTCCCTACCGGAGTATGACTTATTAAAGTCGAGAATCGGTTTAGCCAATTGATTGTTAAGTCGTGTTCGCTTAACACGTTTACTTATACCATGCGTGATATCCATCATGCCGGTATAGTCTGGCTCATCATCCAAGTCTATCATTGTTATCGTTCGTGAGTTGCCACTGTTATTACCATCGGTATTTGTAATCAATTCGGTGCTGGATACTTTACCACTGTACACGGCTTTGCTTAACCTCGTTGACCTCGTATTGTTTAAAAGTGCGCCTTCGGAATTGTTCACCAATCGTGTCTTTTGCGTTGAACTGATGCTAGCGCTCTGATACTGACTAACTTTGCCCATGTTTTTAGAATCAAGGCTAAGAATAGCGACAACTTTGGCAGTGCGTTGTGGCCTTTCATTCGACTCGAGCGAATTTCCATTGGAATCGGTGCCGTCTACGATCGCCGCTGACTCGAGATCCACGTCACATCGTTGTTGCTGATCACATTGCTGTTCCACATCCAAAGGTAATGGGATCGCAACGCCACGACTAACCTGCTGTTTGAATTTCGATACGGGTGGCAGTGATTTCGGCGAGGGCATGTAAGTGTCGATATTTGACCTCGTTAATCTGGAGAATTGCTCAGGTGTAGGGAGCGGTGTATCTGGTCGTTTTTTGGCAATCACACGATTGATCGTCAAGCTGTCAGTGGAAATGGTATCTGTAACGTGGCCTTTCACAGCCGTTAATGGTACCGCAATCTCTTTTCTCTCCATAGCCAAGCGCTCAGCCATTCTAACATAAGTAGTAGAGCGGCTGCGACGTATACTTACTGGAGGCGAAGTTGGTACAAGAAAGCCATTATCAATGGATGATTTTGGACTTCGCGGACTAAGTTTAAGGTGGCCCTGGGAATTCGAGGAAGTACTTTCGCTATCGGAACTACTACTACTACCACTGTTATTATTGTTAGCCAACGATCGCGTAATTGGGCGAATTGTATAGAATACAGGCATAGGTGTATCGGGCCTACGTCGTAGAATTGGCTTCACCGGATTCAAAAATCTACGGCATAATGGATTGGGTAGTTGCATATTTGATCTCGTAATTCGCGACGATTCCGAAATCGACTCTTCAGTTTGATTATTTTGATCGTTCAACTGTGCGTCTGTATTTATAACAATAGTTTCGGGAAGAGCGTTCTCTACTTTCAAATCACTAAGTGTTAAGCTCAAATCTTCTTTCGCTTCAGCATTAACCTCTAATTCATTACAAATTGTCGATGTAGTCTCGACGTTTGTACTAACTTTGGAACGTCTTGTCATTACCCCTGAAACGGCAACGTCCACCTTAGCTATTTTGTTAGGTTTCGATTCAACTGCAGTAGTCGCATTCGACTCAAATGTTTGTGAATCTTGAGATGTCGATGTAAAATGTTGATCCTTTGAATCAACATCAAATCTATTGTCTAAAATGACTTCAGATGTACTATCCTTTTGAGACCATACAGTGCCAAACTTTTCTGGTATAACTCCCGTTGAATTTAAATTTGTATCAAAAGTCATCTCTCTTGTTGGTACTTGCTTTTCTGAACTACTATGCTTTTTTTCTGATAAAGTCTTCCCTCTTTCCTTCGAGCCTGTATCGATTAGGCCTTCGCGTGTAAGCTTCATCGTTTCTGAATTCGCAGTATCCGTACTCAATGTAACTTTACGTTTTACTTGAGCTTCACTGGTTAGGCGCGCGGACGATCGCTTAAGCTTTATTGAAGTTAGTTCTTCGACATTGCTCTTTTGCATTGATGAGTTCTCTTTGAGTTCTGTAGTTGCTGGGGTAATTAACGTTTCTAAATTCTTTGCCTTATCACCGGTAGTTTTTATATGCTCACAAGTCATATTTAGCGTTTCCTTATTATCGAAACTCGATCGCACAGCTGATCGGGTTATTTTAATTTTGATCTGCTCATTTTCGGTTTTTTCATTCACAATTCTTAGAGACGAATTATCAAAGGATGACTTGGAAGCAGCAGTAGCAAATGTTGGTTGTTCATTATTCGAATTTTTGTTTTTATAATTTTCTTCCGTTTCCTCTGTCTTTGTTTCCGAAATAAACCGTGTGGCAGATCGTGTGAGTTTTGAATGTCTTGCATTCATTATTGGACTAGATCTATTAGAAGTAGACTCTTCATCAACATTACACGGCAAATCATCGATCGCAGAATTTGAGATCAAATCCAACCCGTCTACATTACTAGCGTTATTTTGAACCTTGTCAGAAGATTTTATTTGTTTTGATTCCGCAACGTCAGGAATCACCTGCAGAACTACGTGTTTATCTTTTGTTTCTGTACGTGATCGTGCATAAGAGCGCGTCACTTTTACAATTCTAACATTGAGAATAGGACTGAGCGGACGATTATCTTCGGACAGTTCAAACTTGGAATTAAATAATTCAGATTTGGATTGACTCGACTCTTCTTGCAATGGAATAATATTAGAACATACATAATTTTCATCATTACCATCGCAACTATCTGTACTCATTGTTACATTAGGCCGTGCTACAGTATCCTCGGGAGGATCAGCACTGAAAATGCCTTCAGATTCGTCTGATTCATCACTTTGGACATTTAAAGTATCATTAATATCACAGATTTTCAATTCCTCCCCCCTACAGTTAATTTTTAGTGGTGCCACCCTCTTTTCTTGTACTAGACGCGTAGACGACATTTTATTACTAGATCTGGTAGAATATGTAGCAGCCAAATTCGTTTCGCTCATTGACAGTGACGATTGTGAATGCTTCCGTGGCCTGCCAACCTTATGAGATGTTATGCTACTCTGTTTCCAATCATCATTGGTCTCTTGAATATTCTCTATTGTTTCTTTTTCTATCACATTGACGCGGGACAATTCCTCCAAAGTTAATTCAAGGGCATTATTTATTATACCAGCTTCTCTCTCAGACGATCGTAAATTCGTTCTTGTAGGTTTCCCAGCTATACGTCTCCTCATCTTTGTTTCGGGCGTACTCGCAGTAGCTGCCACCATAATTTCAGCTTCATCTTCATCGCACAAACTCTCATCAGCGCTTGAATTCATCGAAGCATCGATTGCTTTATCGAGTAAATCCGCGGATATCTTTAATTTACTATCTTTGTCGGGAGGTAATGGTATCGTAAAGCCTTCATCTGACTTGTCGATCGTCAAATCATACTTGGGCTTCCTTCTTGTTCTGTGCCTTGACTTACCCTCTGGTAATATGGGACTAACATCCAATGTCCAAAGATTGATCTTAACGTTACCTCTAGATCTCGTTCTAGGACTATTAAGATCGAAATAATTTTTCTTTAATTTGCTCATTAAACCATCATTAGAACAAACTTGCCTCTCAACAGACTGATTCTTTTCATTTTTGTCTTCATCATCGTCATCCTCCTCCTGCTCGTCGTTATCATCGCTCTCATCGCTTTCATCAACAC